AAATCCTATTAACTTACCAAAATTACAGAACTTGGTCTCACTGTTTCTCGGATATAATTTCTTTCAAACCTTTTCCTTAAAATTAAATTCTGAAAATAACCATGTGATAAGGAGTAAGTTTGTCCCCCAGTGGACTTAGCTATTATTTTTTCTTTATTGTGAGCTGAATATTGTGACAGAGCAGAGGCAAAGAGGCATACATTCAATTCTTAAGGTATCAATTCAAAAAAGATCAGAGCTTTCCTAGCAGGGCAGCAACTTTGCAAATGCCCACACTATTGTAGCTGAAATGACAAAGCCCAGAAAGGGTAATGTCGAGAGTGCCCAAAGACTTGCCTTGGCAGCTTTCTGCCGTGCATCCCCCTTGAACATAGTAACAACTTGTCCAAGACCCCAGTGATTATAGAGTCACAACTGCAGCCAGGGAGTAGCCCATTGCAGATCAAGGGTTCAAATATGTAGCTAGTAGAAGCTTTAGAAGCAAAACACTGACAACTCTGCTGGTCCGGTGGAGAAATGCAGCCTTCGAACCAGAAGGATGGCTTGGTGATAGGTGAATATTCTGTGCTCCAAACTACCCTTGGGCAAGTCAGGGTTGTAGAAATGCTTCCACATACACAGGCCTGAACGCTGGAGTTTGAAGGAACAGAGCTCAGCCTTCTTGGGCATGCAAAGACAATGAACCTCAAGACAACCACCGCCATCTTGCTTTTGAAGGTTCCAGGTCATCTACCAACCCAGAAGCAGATGATCCAGGTCATGTGCCAACCCAGAAGAGTGATCCTCATTCTTTACAGCCCTTAGTAGGTGTGGTAACATTGTCCACCCTCTGGATTTAATATTGAACTATCCTTATATTCTCAAGATAAACCCCTGGGGTTGTGGTACATTGCTGTGTTGTACATGTTTCTGTGCTATATTTCTATATTTGCTCTTTATACTTAAGACTAGGAAGCGGTTTAAGTCTGTTTCAGTTTTGAAGGATTTTTTTTTTTTTTTTTTTGGCCAGCTCAGGGTACCTTAAAAGCAGGTCTGGTAAGGCAGGAGGATCTGGGGACTGGACAACAAAATCCTGAGCCTGACTACTTTGTTTAAGCAGGCACTTAAACAGTGGAGCTAATGGGCAGGCCCCCCAACAGTTCAGAAGGATTTTTTTTTGACTGGCTCAGGAGGCCTTAAGGGCAGGTCTGGTAAGGCTGTTTCAGTTTTGTCTATGAGCAACAATTCATTATTTTATTTGTTCTAATTATACTTTTTATATCTACAAATTCATCCAAATGTTTTCATGGGTTTATCTTGTTCCTTGTACAACTTTTTGTTGATATTATTAAATTTAAGCATACATATCTACTTATTTTGCTTAGAAATAGATATGCTTAGGGCTATGGATTTCCCTTTCGGCAGTTCTTTAGTTGTATTTCCGTGAGCTTTTTTCTAAGCCTTTCAGATCTAAAGATTCAACAGGGGAACTTGCTAAATGCAGTTTTCTTGGGCTCATCTCAGACCCCTTGAATGGGAATGTCCTGGGAAAGGCATGGTGATGGATTTCAACTTTTCTCATAATTCAAGGAATTTTGAGTATAACCATAGTGGGTGCTCTTTGTAATGCTTTGTTTTCTAGATAATCTGTAATTCATCTTTGACTATAGCATCATGCCATTTCTATGACACAGAATTGTATTTTTAAAAAAGGTTCTCGCTCTCCCCCTTTCCCCTCTCTCATCCCCTTTTTTTTCTCTTCAAGGCACTTTGAAAGAAGTTCTGTGTGTCCGGAGTGTCTCATTTGCAGTATATTGACTTCACCTGCCTTAATAACTATTTGAAATCAGCTGCAGACTCTTTGCCTACTTGCCGTGTCACAAGTGGATAACGGTGAGCATAAGGACCTCTTTATTCTTGTTAGCATTTGATGTATATGAGTATATATACACGAATGTATACATATGCATGAACACGCACGTATATGTTTATCTCCCACAGCTTCCTTATCAAGTTGGGTGCTATTTTTAAAAATGCAAAAATAGAAGCATAGTCAAAAGAGTTAATATCTTTTGATTTTTCAGTTCCTAGTCAAAGGATGTCTCTACTTTTGCTTACCTTTTGAACTTCTTTCCTATGTAAATAAGGTGAACTTAAAAATTTTGATAGATTATGGATTTATGTTGCTGAAAAAGGTAGCCAGTGTCCCTGACACATTCATCAATGGTGTGTACGAATAGGCATTTTTTTTCTCTCCTATATCCTCTCCCTGAGTAACCCTGGGAATTAGCAGCATATATGTTGCTTGTTACCCCTTCCCAATTCTTAATTTCTTGTGCTCCAAAATTGTCTTATAAATTAATAAATGAATATAAATACACATTTTTTTTCATGAGGCTTTATCTCCATTTTTGTAGCATTTTCAGTAACAAGACACACTATGTTTACCTGTTTACCATTTATTGGGTATAATATGCTTAACAATGACTTTTTCTACTGAAATAGCAGGTTGTATTTACCTGTAGATCCCCAATATGAGAAATGTGTACAAAAGTAACAATGTAACATAAAAAGTTATGTGAAAAAATTAGCAAACCAAAGCATTATAAAAGGATGAAGCACTACAAAATGACTGTGCTGGTTTATGTAGCGGTAACTTCAATCTGTACTGTGCTAAACAGCCTGTAACCGAGTTAAAGAGTTGCATTGACAATTGCCACACACATTCAGACATCAGGCTGCCCCACCACCTACCAATTTGACTTGATAGAAAGAAGTAAGGAACTCTTAGTTCTGCTTCTACTCATCCTAAAAGTCTTGGCCATCTATTGCCTAGAGAGTTTTGTTTTTCCTATCCTGCCCTATGAAGATACCTACTTATGATAGGCCATGAACGTAAAGTGGTGTTCAGCTTTTTTGCAAAACTAAAAAGATTATATGTATTCTTTTGTCTGGATTTAAACATGCTAAGTTAAGGATTAAAGTGTTATTTTCTAGGAGAATTCAGGGAATATAGAGCATGCTTTTTGAAGACAATGTGGGAAATCAGGGTGGATTTGAAGGCATTCAACCGCGGAGCCAAATCACTTTAAATCAAGAACTCTGTTGCCTGTTCAATTTTCTGATTACTACTATCCACTATGAATTATTTTAACAATTTCATATGTAGTATTTCTCCTCTTTAAAAAATATGAAGCAAGATTGTAATAGCTGGATTATAAACTTCCACTACTGTCCCAAAAGTAAAGGGACAATCAGTAAAGTACCATTTCTCTGTCACAGTCAGAGAAATGGTATTTTTGTATATGAATAGACGGCTCTAAGAAGTATTCTCTTTCACAAAAAATGGTTTTGTACATGGGGCTTGCAAATCTTTCTTAGAAGGCTGTTTATCAACCATAACTTTCAAACAGATTTAAAAGCAATAGATGTTAATAGGAACTTGAGAGTGAGTCAAGAGAATTTTTGCAATCACAGCTAAGTTGAGTTTTCTATGGCCAACCTCCCTAATTAGAACAAGGTGTTAGATGGGAGGTCACTGTGGTCAGTATGCCTGTGGGAGGCACTTGGGAAAGGCTAGAAGGTACTGGAAAGGTTGCTCTGAGCTGTGACCTTGGAGAAGGTGGGTTTTGGGTGTCCAGTAGGTGAACTTGCAGGACAGCTGCATTCCGTAATGGTCATCAAGTTGGACGATTTGAAGTACTAACAAAAGTAGATAAGAGATTTAATTGTTGGATACTGGAGAGGCAGCAATATTGGGGTTAGCTTCCGTAAGGCACTTGGGTCTGGTGACCAGGAAAGATAAAGTAAAAGGAAAGGGCCATGCTTGCCTATGGCTTCCTGTGTCCAGGCATATGTATAGGCCTGCTAATACATCAAGGGGAGTAGCTGTGGCAGCACTGTGCTGACTTCTAGTATGGATGGGAGTGGGAAAAGGTGGCACCTGCAATGACTTGCACTGACCAGTTGCTGTATGTGAATCTCCCAGCCTGAAAATCATCTCTGCGTTCGTGCTGGTTTGGGGACACTTGGAGGAGGGTTGTTGTAACTTTAATCTGGGTCCCTAGTATATTTCTGGGACCATTTTGAGAGTACTTTCTCTAGGATATCCAGGACAGTCATACCTAGCAGAGCTTAGAGATGAAATGAGCCTTGTGAGAAAAGACTGCAAGAGGTCAGAGTATATTAGGATGATCCAGCCCAGCTGCCCAGGCTTCATGCCCTCTCAGTTGTCAGGGACTTGTTGGCTCAGAATGCTTAGTAAACATCAGTTGAGAGGTGACAGGAGGATACTCAGACATTCTAGTTGGCCCAGTGTCAGGCTCTTTTTAGCACCATGGGGGATCACAGGTCCTGTGAGTATTCTGACACAGATTAGAGTTTTAGCAGTTTTAGGGGATGCATTGATGTGTTGTATTGATTTGTCAGAGAACAATGGCCTACATTTCAGTCTGAGAATTCCTAATAAAGTTAAGAAGGCATAAAAATGTCCCCTTAGAGACTAGTTCAGGAGTATTCTTTCTCATATAGTTTATTTTGTTGCTGTTGTGGTTTTTGTGATGTCATCCCACATGTGTAAGCTGGGAAATTCACACTGGGTCATGTAACCTCTGCATGCATATTTCGACAATGGAAAATGTTACGCTTTGTTTCATTTGGTTGCTACACGTCTGATTCCATGTGTCAGGAAAACAAACTGTTAAAAACATTTCAGAAGATATACTTTTAGTGGAATTCCTGGAAGATTAGCCATATACTTCTCTATAAAGTGGGGTCATATAACCTACAGTTATTCCTAGACATACAAAGGAAAATGAGTAACCTCCAGGCCTCCTTTGTGTCTATGCACCAAGTTTTCACAGTGATGGTCTTACAAAACTCAAATCAACTTCATTATTTGTGCCTACAAAGTTTTTCAAAAATATGAAAGAATAGTCAGATCACCATTGAAATGTAAGTCTTAATTTTTGTTTCCATCATTTATGAATACATAAAAAGGGAGAAAAATCTATTTTATAACTATCATCCTGGTCATTGGCTCCTAAGTTACATTAACATGGATGTTATTGCTATATATGTTTCATTTGCTAAATATTGCTCTTTATTCAGAAATAAACTGCCTGGCTCTATAAAAGTTATCATATTGTAGAGAGAAGAATATGTCACTAGCCACAGCCCCTAAGTGGCCATTGATGACATGATGTAGGATCACAGTTTTAACCTCTGTCAATATCAAACTGTTCCTGGTTTTTAAAAGCACAGGACTTACAGTTAAGAAAGAATAAATGAAAGTCCATCCATATCCTTCTACTTACAATAGAAGGGTCTAAAATGTCATATCTAAGGATTTGGGCATCTAGAAAGACAATGCCCACATAATGCACCATAAAAAACTGTAAACCTTTTCAATATTATGTTTTGGCCTTAATACAATTACCGAATGTAACAACAGTTACATTAATTCTATATGTATCTCATCAGCAGTAATATCATCTACCATGGCTTTACATTTTTAAGAAAATAATTGTATACTCAACAGATGCATGCTATAAGAGCTGGAATGTATTAAAACTGGATTCCCTTTGTGTGTGTGTTTGTGACACAGATTTATTTATCCACAGTTATGAATACTATGTTGCTTGGATACAGTGGAGCGTGGGTAAAGTGAAATGCAGTTTTGCTCTTTGGAAGACAAACCAAGATTCTTAGTATGTATTTTTCTTTCTGCTTCAAAGCATAGGAAAACCATTGAAATAACTCTTAAAGTCTTATCATAAAACACTCAGAGTGAATTATAGGACTGCTGTCAATTGCCATCTCATATGAAAACTAGTCATGTATGGCCTCACCAGAACCAGGGAGAGGCAGGATGGCATTTTGCATTATCTGAGCATCTTTATATGCTAATGCCATTGCCTTCAGGCATCTTGAAAATCATCTTGTGGGAATGGCTCCTAGTAAACCATTGGAGATATTGGCAGAGTAAACCATTGAAGAGGCCACTTGCCCAGCCCTGCTTTGCGTGAATGTGGATGATCAGGAAAATGATTTTCCTTTTACTGTTTTGTGATGCTCAACAGGTATGTTGTAAATGTTAAGGCTTCATACTATATTGAAAACATCTTTTCAAGATTCCTAAAGTCTAGCTGAGAAAATAGAATGTGCTACAGAGAATTTAAGGGTTCTTTGTCCAATATATACCATGAGTAGGTAGACTAGGCTGTACCATGAGAACAGCATTTCATTTTGCTGTAGTTTTTGCAAGCATAGGGATTCTCATTTTTAATAAGTTGAACCTTTCAGTAAAAGGAGATTTTTATCTAAAGCATTGATTGACTAGATCTGGTTACTACTTTACATCTGAAAATCATTACAGTCCCATGGAAAGCCTCATATGTCTGTCTGAACACAAGGTCATTGTATTACAGTGGAGAAGATAATGTGGTAATTTGCTTAGCTCCAAACAGTACAGGGAGATGGAGGTTTGCAGTGGCTTCCTTGTGGAAACACCACCATTCCCAATCTAAATAATATGCTGATGCCAGCACACTGTAAAGGGAAGCCAGAAAAAGAAGTTCTGAATGTGTCTATGTAGCGAAACCATGAGCAAAACTACAGATCTCTTCTTTGTCTGCTGTCCAAATGTGCTCAAGGCTGGTCAGCTGCAGGTCAAGTTGCTGCCTGGTCTGGCACTCCAGAGTCTGTCTTGGTGGGGCCACACCTCAAAGTTCCTGTCTGCAACCCAGGTTCACTCCAAAACATCCTGACCAGAAACCAGATCCTTCTCTTTTGTTCTGGGGGCCTATCAGTTTGCCAGGATCCAGGACCTCCCTGGAGGCCACAGACAGCCTGGATTTGCAGCCTCCAGTTCAGGCCCAAGCTAGCAATTCCACAAAAATCACTCGGAGTTCTACCTGGGCTCTGTTGAACCGTGTCAGGTACTGTAACTGCAGCTGAGGGCAGCTGGGTGACTGGTTCCCAAGAACACCTTGATCAGAAAGTAAACATCGTGTCCAGAATCCTATCAAGCGGGATATTTCAAGTTCACTAAAATATTAAAAGCACAAGCCTTCCTTCCATGGAAAACTCAGTGATGGTAAAAATGCCTACTACAGTGCACTGCACTGTAATAAACATTCTGCATAAATAATAATTTACAAGTTCCTGAGCAAGTATACAGAGCACCATAGCACAGCACAGCACCGACGGCAGTAGCTCAAAGTTCTTGAAATAATGGTTTTTTTAAATTTAAAAAGTTCTAAAAGTTGGTACAAAAAAAATCACTCCAACTGGAGTTGAAAGATAGTGCAAACTTCTGTCTTCACTGTTGAGAAAAAGGCATCAACTTGCTTCTCACTTAATGTAGGCAGTATGCGTGGATCTGGGCACTTGGTGTGGATATTTAGGAGCAGGTCTGAAGAAAGAGCAATCAAAAGAGAAAGCAAAATTTAGAGACTCTGAGAGAGCGCCTCCTGTAGATATCAAAGCCCTGGGTGGCATCAGTCTTTTTCCTACATACCATTAGGTCAGATCTGAGTGGAGACAGCTCTTGTTTTCGGCAGGGTTGGCAAAGGATCTCAAGGATCTTATTTAGGGCTGCAGAATTCCCAGTGGTTTACAATTCCCAGATGACTGATTACCAAATTTTAGCAATAGATTTTATTTACCCCAATATATCTAGAGTATTATTTCATCAGTATGATTAGGAGGATTGGCATTTTGGGGGGTACTAAGTCTTCAAAGCCCAGTGAGTCTTGACATTGATAGCAGAGTTTTAGTTTTTATTTTTAACCAGTGGCTATTGGATAGCAGAGCTGTTGGTAACCAGAGCAAAGCAGGGCTATGTGTGATCCTTCAAAAATGAACAAAAGAATTGGTAGGAGAGGAGCCAGTTACTACAGTGGGGTATGGATTAGGTGGGCCACTGCTTGAGGGCATTTACAAAAGGAGTCATCCTCTTAGCATGCTCATGTAAAGTAGTGTTTTCCCCCTTTGGGGAAAAAAAAAAAGAAACAAAAGCACTCTAAAATCAACATGCAAGCCACAATGAAATAATTAGGATGCTATGCAATTTTTTTTCCCTGTATTTCTGCAGTTGGAAATTAAACCATTGGACTGACCCTGTGACTGTCTTTATCTCTGAGATTTATTAGGCAGCAATTTCTTTCATAGGCCAAACATTCTTCCCAGGGGCTGTAATCACTAGCGAGTGTCTTCCCCCTCAGAGATATGAATTACTGTGCACAGGGCCTTGCCAATAGTCTGTACCTTTGGTTCCTTTGAGCTCATAAACTGAGCTTTCTGCCAAGGGGGCATGTGAGTCAGAGTTTTGGCTGTAGGTCTCACAGCATTCTGAGGGAGGAGGGCCTGACTGGTCTCATTTGCCAATTTCCATGGTGTAAATACTCCTTCAGGGGTGATTCTTAGGTACTACCAGTATATCTCCAAACATGGAAGTGACAACAGCAATGAGTACCAGGATGCTGAACTCCACCCCATGGATAAGAGATAACTGCAAACTCAGTGCCACAAAAATTGATAGCAAAAGGTAGGGGGCAAAAGCCAGAAGGCATGTTTGTGTATTTGTTATCTTAGTTTTTAAATGTAACTTAAGTTTATAGAATTTAATCTTTAGTACAGTTTAGCCAGATTTAACACCCTGATTACAAAATCTCTGGAAATTTAATATTTCTCACCAACCACTGTGAACTACCAGTTCCAGCCCTGAAGTGAGCTGACCTCCCTGTGTAGGTAGGATGCAGGCTGTCTCCTAGCCCCCTCTGGGACAGTATGCAGATGACCCCAACAGAAGCAAGCCTTTCGGGGAAATTTTGTTGCAGAGAAGCACCTGATCTCCTGCTGCTAGCAACTTCTTCTTCCTCACCTCTCATTTCCCTTTGTTTCATCTTTGACCCACAGCTCTGACCTATGTCTCAGGACCCCATGGTCTGGGGAGAGTTGGTTTGGTAACAGTTTTGAGAATGGGGCTCTAGCCTTCATACCATCGTGCTGTTTTTCTTCTTAGTGCCTTTGTGAGACAAGGCCGGGGCCCGATCAGCAGCCACCGCCTCCCGGGGTGTGATGCCACCTAGTCTTACCTCAGCTTGAGTCAGTTGCTTAGGCATGCTGCACCCTTGCTGAGAGTTAGGTGGCAGTGCTAGCAGCTGTGGCTCATGTTGCTGCTTCTGGTTATGTTCACATGTGTTTCCCATTGCTCCCCCTCGTGGGACCATGAGGTGTGACCTCACCCACCACCCCACAGCCACTAGAGAGAGGAGACCCACCTAAGGGGTGCTGGGCGAAACCCAGGCTCCTGCTGCCCCGGTGTCTTCCCTGCAGCATTAGAGAGCCGAGTTGTTCTGTTCAAAGGGTTGGCGGGCAGAGGCTTCTGAGGTGGGTTTGGCTTATTAAGCCCCTGCAATAAACACAACATTTTTGCATGATTTCTTAGCTTCACAACTGGGCATCAACACTGGGGGCTGTCAGAGTTCCTGAAAAGCAGGATTTGAAGAATGGTAAATTGTTGCACAACACAGGCTCACTTCCTGATAATCACCATCACCATATGAGTCGAGGTGGGGGGAGTGACTTTTGTTAACCTTATTGCCTAAGTTTTCTCTAACTTTTAGACATTTATTCATGAATGCATATAAAAAATTGTGAATCTTCCAATCCCATGGTGTTTGTGGGCCTTGGAGGATACAGTTGGTGCTGGTGTTCTGCGCTAAGGCCACCTAAGGAATCTAAGCTGGCCTCTCTCCCCGTTAGGTGGCTTTTCAGTTTATAATGACCTAAAGTGAGAAGCTGGTGAGATATTTTAAGCATTACAGTAATTCCTCCATTTCTCTGTTATCATATGAAAGAATTGGATCAGCTATGGGTGGACTGGTTAATGTGGATGGTCAGTGTTCCAAATTCTGGTCTAGATCATTTGGCATGACCCCCTGAAGTTCTCTCACCCGAATACTTTCTATAATTAGTTCAAAGAATTGACCCAGCTGTTTGAGAGCTAAGTCAAGCCTACAGAAGCTGGGGGAAATTGTGGCATTGGCCAGGAGGCAGGGAGGACCTCAGCCAGAGGAGGTGGAAGAGCACGAACTTGGGGGCTGTTCTATGCTGGGTTTTATCCAAAGACCACTGCCTTGGGACTTGTCGAGTTGCTTGACCTTTCTGAATCTCAATGTTTTCTGGAAAATGCAAGGAAACAAGACCTGTCACACAACATTATTATGAGGAATAAGTAAAATAATGCATGGGAAGTTTTAAGCACATAAATAAAAATTGTCAGTAATATCAGTATTCCCTTAACTTTTAATAAAAACAAAAAGCAACAGAAATAATGCACTTGCAAAATAATAAGGCACCTCTTTCTGTGGCGCTTCTCCCTTACTTGCTTATGAGAGAGATTATATCAGTAAGTATGTGACACAGTTGTCTCCTGGGGCCCAGAGTGAGTCTGGGTGCCAAGCCATCTTCTGCTCTATGTTCTGGAGACTAGAAGACTCACTGACACACAGGTCTGTAGGCACTGGTGCTAGAGCCTCCAGAAGGACAGAATGTCCCAATAATTAAATGATGTAATGCAATATCATAGCACAGCACACAGTAGGGTGTGCCTGTGGTCTCAACTACTCAGGAAACTGAGATAAGAGTATCACTTGGACCCAGGAGTTCATGACCAAGCCTGGGGAGCAGAGTGAGACCTAATCTCAAAAAGCAACAACAAAGTAATCCCATCATCATAGGACTCAGTATTCTGTACCTCTAGAAACACTTGAAAATGATTTTAAAACACTTGAGTTGAATTTCTAAGTTCTAAGTTCAGCTGTTTGGGCCTCTATCACTATGGTGACCATATCAGCTGAGAGAAGCACAAGAACAGAATGACCAGCTAACCTAGTTCTGCAAACATAGAAGCCACCACAGAAGTCTGTAAACCACAGCTGTGTGGGAAATGTACCAAGTAACAATAGGTAGATTGAGTTAGGAAAGGGGCACTGAACAAGAGAAGGACTTTCAAATGACATTTCTATGTGGAAATAACTAACAGACTGTACATTATAGAATAAATTCCTCAATGAAGAATGAAAACTGTATAATGTGCTTAAGGACATGGGTTATATGTTTTGAAGCTCCTGGGCATAAGGAGATGAGGATGTTCCTTCCCTAGGGGTTGACCAGGGATTGACAGTGATGGTGTCAGCACAGGGCCCACCACATAGTCGCCAATGACGAGTGTCACCCCCTGCCACTACTCTGTAACTATAATGGACTGAGTAACTTCACCCTTCTCAAGTACCCTTACCCTTTCAACAGTCTTTGGGTAATAAACTAAGGCAACAAATCAAGCTCCATTTCCTGTAACAGAAAAGCACGAGCAAGATATCAGTGTGTAATGTAAAAATGAATGTATATACTCATAAAATTGAAAGACTTTGGGGACTAAATAATTCATTACTAAGTGATACCAGTTTTGCTGCTAAGTATGACTAAGTACCTAGTCTTGGCAATAAAGATAATGTCAGGTTTTCATTGCAACACTAGAGAAAAAATGAGGTATATATTACAGTCTAGTGAAATATATTTGGATTTATCATGGAAACAGTGAGGATAATTAGGCTGGCAATTCATCCTAGTTTCCCTGGGATAGCCCCAATTTATGTGTATGGTCCTGTTTAATTATTAATCACATTCTCTGATGTGTCTCCTGCTTTACAGGATAGCTGATATGGTCACCATAGTGATAAAGGCCCAAACAGCCGAGATGCTGACTGAGAGTTCTGACTTCAAACCTGGGGACAGCATAGTCCCTCTCACCAGGAGCAGGACAGGGATGGGATGGAAACAAGGCTCAGGCAAACCTTGTGCCTAGGTGAGGTGCTGGCTTCCTGCCAGGCTTCATGAGGCAAGACTGCATGAACAGTGGGGTCAGTCTAGGAAGGGGTTGGTTTTGACCCTGGTGAAAGGGGCAGAACTTCCATAGGTCCTTTATTTTATTTTTAGGGAAGGGTCTACAGGGTGTTCAGGATCTCACTACTAGATCAGACTCATAGTGATCCTCCTGTTTACAGCCTCCCAAGAGCTGGGATCACAGGTGAGTGCCACCACACCCAGTCTCAATTCCATCTCAGCATGCCCCAGGGGCTGGCTGGCACTGCAGGCCCGGGGACTGAACCCCAGGCCCCTGAGCCTGCTTGCAGGTGCTTTAATCTGTTGAGCTGTTTGGCTGGCCCCACAGATCCTTGTAGTGTCACTTGTCTTGCTGTCTTTGCAAAACCCAAAGCAGGTCTTTCCCAGAGGAATCCAGCCTGGCCACCAAGATTCATCTGCATGGAACTGAGAAAGGACTCCACTTCACTCACGCTCAGTAAATATCTCTTGAGATCTATTTTCACTGAAACAAGGAAACAAGGACTCAAGCCTCATTCTTCCCTCTTGGCTTCCTCCAGGAACTGGAGCACAGTGCAGGTGCGCTCTTAAGTGGCTAGTGTGTCCCACTGCTCCTCTTTCTGCTCAGGATCTGGCAAGAGGCACAGACTTTCAATTTTTTAGAAAATCTAAATGTAACCCTTTGCCTTGACCACTGTCGTAGGGAATTCTCATCTATTTCCAGCTTTCACACGATGAGAATAAGCATGTCTTGTCACCCAGAGAGATCTCTGCAGAGAGGCAGGGCTTGGGGCATCGCGAACACATCTTGCTGTCAACGTTTTGCCTCTCTGTGGCTAAAATTATAGAAATTATGATGATAGAGCAGAAGACTATAAATGTTATAAATTATAATTGTGTAGGCATTGTAGAACGGACTGAGGTTGAACAGTCGCTCTTCCACATCTCGGAAGATGGCAGGCACAGTTATTGCGCCTCAGCTTTTCTCTGAAAACCACTGCAATTGTATTTTAAATTTTTCTTACAAGCATGCTATAACTATGAGCTAGTATGCAATTGAGATGTCATCAGACCAAAATCTAAGCCGAAGAAGCAGCCTGGGGACATACGATAACTGTTATTGAGGTTTTCCAGCTTGTCAGCTAGAAAAAAAATAGTCAAATTCATACTTTATTTCCTGCACTGCAATATATAGCAGATGAATCAAATATATGAATGTGAACAAATTGTAAAAGTATAAGAAATTAAAAATATGCTTGTTTGGTCAGACTAAATATGAAAACAAAAATTGCCAAGATGAAAAGGCAACTCACAAAGAAAAAATAATGGCCCTAGACTTGTGTTAAGTAGCCTCATCATACTTATTGGAAGAAAAATGTACACCTGTCAGATGGTGAAGACAAATCAATCACTGAATGCAGCTTGTTGGTGAAGAGCTGGGAATAGAAATTGGGACAACTTCCTCAGAGGCTGTTCCACCCAATCCATCCCATTTCTAAGTGCACATGGCCTCTGACCGCAATTGAGCTTTTAGGATTTATCCTATAGACATCTTGGGCAGAAACAACGCTATTTGAAGTCACAAGCAACCTACAAGGCCATCAGCAGAGGACAGATTAAATAAGTGGTGGTATGCCTCTATAATGAAATACTATGTGGTGGTGAAAAGAACAAGGCAGAAGGGCCTATAACAGGTACAGTTTAATCAAAGGGCGAGGGCTGGGGAGACAGCCCAGTGGCTTAAGTGCCTGCCTGACATACACAAGGTCCTGCGTTTGACTCCCCCACCCATAAGAAAAAAAAAATAAAGGGGCAATAAGAAGGTGATGTGCTACTATTTGAATTCCAATAGAAGTTATAAAACAAGAGTGACAACAGTGTTATGCTTATGAATGTTGGGTAGATAGAATTTCACTATACTCTTCTCTCATTTTTAGGATTAAACATATCCATAACCCCTCCCTGTAAAGATAGAGACTTTTCCTGTATTGTAAACTATGTTTTATAGAAGGCTGGTCACTGTTTACTTCCGGGAAGGGGCCTGGTGACGGGTGGGAGGGAGACTGACTGTTCTCTGCCGAGCTGCTCCATTTCAGGCTTGCATCATTTGCTAACAAATGTGGAGGATACTATACCAGGCACCCATTTTCCATGCATGGTGCGCCTGTTTATGGTACAGAGATGAGCTGCCTTGCTCTAATGTATGCTGCTCTGACCTCTGTGGTTGGCTGGAATCTATAAAATCTAGCAATCTGATGATCTAGGCCCTTACTCATTAGAAATGCCAGTGTGAGATGGGAAAAGGAAATCCATTCATCAATACGTTCTTCTATGAAAATAAGGTCAAATACAAGAGAACTGTGTATGGTGATGGTGAACCTTTTAGAGATGAGTGCCCGAGCCATGACCCCAAGCCCATGTGTTTATCACAAAGTGCCAACAGTGCAATTCAGTAAACTTGAATTCTGAGGTTTAGGAAAAGCAACTCATACAGTAACATCTTTTGTTTTAAAAGAAAAACAATTC